CTTCCATCATCAGCTTCCTTCCTTCCATCATCATCTCCTTCCTTCCATTCATTGTCAGCTCCTTCCTTTTTTCCTTCCATCATCAGCTCCTTCCTTCCTTGCGTTCATTGTCAGCTCCCTCCTTCCTTCCTTCCATCATCAACTCGCTCCTTCCTTCCTTCCTTCTTCATGCCTTTCTTTCTTTCTGGTGCCTTTTTCCTTGTGAAAGCTAAATTCTCAGCCATAACATGCAGAGAAAGTCCTTTTAGCCTAGGTGGTTCTGTTTATCTTCTTTTTATATATAAATAGAACATCCAGGGAAGGGTCGTTCATTCTTCTGTGGAGTGTTTTTCTCCCACTGACAGGCTGACATGCCTGAATTCACACTTTTATAACAGGGTCCCCGGGGAGAGTCATTCCCCGGGATTATTCATGGTCCCCTAAAATATATCTGGAATATATATCTAGTTTTGCCAGTGGGAGTGTGTGAAAGAGTGAAGCGTCAATCTTTGTTCCAGTGGTTGAAATCCACATGGGATTTGGATGCACAGTTTTGGAATACAGTTTCTTAATTTTCAGGGCTTGTGTGTGTGTGTCAGTTTGCGTGTGCCGATGGTGCAGTTTGTGGAAGTTTTGAGGCAAATTTTACGAGTTTCTAGGAGAATTGGGAAGGCAGAGAACAAGCTGGCCAGGCGAGAAAGCGCGGGAGCGATGGTGTGTTCTCTGGCCTTCTGTTTTCCAAGCAGTGAGTTCAAAACCAGACATGTTGGAAACAACCGGAAGCGCAATGGGGCCCTTTATGGCCCACTTTTTCTTAGACCATGATGTCTAGAAACTTGATATTTTGAAGCAAAATGGAAGACACCAGTAGTTCTTCATATGCAAGGAGAATGATTTTAATCGTCTCTCTTTATGTCTCTGCTTTCAAGCCTTAACGTCTCTCCCCTCTGCCCCCCCACCCCCCCCAAAACTCCCTTCCTTCTAAGATCTTTTTCCTAGAAAGTGGCCAGTTGAAAATCAACCAAGAAGTATCTTTGGGGATGCAAATGGAGCTGGCCTTTTCCTTGTAGGAAATGTAGGCATCCCCCCCCCCCAAATATTAGTACAGCAAGATTGCATTAAACATCCATAATGTCAAACCCCAAGGTGGAAAGCGAAATGGAGAGGAAACATATCTCAGAGTGTCTTTTTTTTTTAAACTGTTTTATTGCTTTGGTTATTGCACTGCCTCCTCTGGTTTTTCAGTTCCTGGCTGCTTCCAGGAAACAATGAGGGCTAGGACCTTGATAACCAGACCAGATAAAACCCAGGGCGAAACTGTTTGGTGTGACAAGATACAGGCTGCACAAGGGACAGCCCCGGGCGGCTGGGAAAGGAAGCACAACGGCCATAGCGCCAGCGTTTCATAGCTGGAAGAAAAGGACCTTTAGTGCAATTTGTAATGCCTTAAAACCTGCACAGGGTGGAAAGACAAGAGTGCCTCAGCGCATACCTTGAAATATTCTCTTCCAGTTGCAGAAATATCTAAAGTTAGAAGGAATGCCTGACCCTCAGGGGGAGGATCCACTTTTTAATCCGAAAGTTACAGGAGAGCGAGGCTAGGGGTAGAATTCTGGCCCTTTGGAGAGCTTGGGCGAAGTTCGGGTCAAAACCCAAAGCCCTTGGCTGCCAGGGTCTGCCGGCCAGCCTCCCTGCCTTCAGTTGTTCATCCCAGCCTTTCCCCAAAATGCAAAAATTGCAGACAGCATATTTTTATATATTTAAATCGAGTGCCCTGGAAAGAGGGATAGCTGAGGGTCCCTTTCTGCATCTGCCTGCAAGGAGCCTACAGGGATGGAGAGACGGCGAGGAAAAACGCCGTCCCATGTCAGTCAAGGCTGGAATTGCAGCCGAGAAGGAGGATTGGGTCAATCTTTTTAAAAGGGGGGAGATGTTCTTGAAATGCTGTCTTTTGTGTGTTTGTTTGTGTGTGTGTGTGTTGTTGCAAGCTGGGCTACAGTCGCGACCATGCTTCCGGCAGCATCCACCCCACCGAGGGCCTCCTTCTGAGAAAAAAATCCTTTCTTAGGATCATGCTGTAGCTCATGCCAGTCCAGGCTGCAATTCTTGAATTTCTCCCCTGGGTTGGCCTTGAAACTCGGTGGCGTGTCTTTCACTCGGGACCCCAAGCTCAGGCCCCCCTATATCCAGCGGGGACCCTCCCCACCGAGATTGCCATTTTGGGTTCGGTTTGGTTGTCTGAGAGGTGATGTCAACATCTCCTTTTTTAGTGACCTTAATTATGCTGCTAACGAATGACCTCTGTAACAGGGTGGGGGTGTCTTCTATGGGAAGGCCCAGAAGGGGGGAGGCAAGCTATGGGTTGGGGCGCATCCTTCCGCAGTAGCATTCCCCCCCCCTCTGCCAGCCGCACACCTTATCTGTCCAAGGTCCCACCGGCGTCCGGTTCCGGCAAAATGGACCGGACGCTTGAAAAGGCCGGTGGGGGGCGGTGGGGGTGTCTGTCCCCTGAAAAACGGCTGCTTTTCCGCCCCGGGACGAAACGTCCGCCTGTTCATCTGGACCCATCCTGTGTAATAAAACATGGCAGAACTGAACTGTGATGTTTGGTGTGTGTTTTTCTTTTCTCTTTCCGGCTTGGGGCCAAATGAACCCCAGATTCGAGTAGCGGGAGAGGAGGAGAACCTCCAGTTTGCAACCAGGATAAGGATCCCAAATGTCTGCCATTTTACGGAGTTGATTCTACTGCCTTCCTGTTTGGCTTCATGGCTTTTCTTCATGTCATGGAAATTTTGGACATTGTATGTTGGTGGGAGCGAAATCTGTGTCAATTTTAACCAGCCTCGATGTAGAACACCAACCGGTATTCTCTCTCTCTCTCACTCCCTTACACTTTCAAACATACTTTTCTCACCTTAAGGACTAGGAACTTGATTCATTTTACATTTTGGTTGCAGGGTTCCCCAGCACCTGAGTTTTGCTAAGCTTTTGGGGGATAAAGCTTTATTTCCTTGTATCAGTTTGATTTCATTTTTGTGCTTATTACTGTGGCAATCTGTAAAACACCTGATCTTGTAAGTGAGACGTATTTCATCTTTATCTCACATGTGGGGGCAAAAAACAAAGAAGCGGAATTTGAATACAAAAGCTAGAATTTTCAGACAGGTCGCCGTGTTACACTGTTGCAGCTAAATCGGCAGTGAGCCTTCAAGACCCACAGATTTTATTTGGGGATGAGCATTTGGGAATTGCAGATCACCTTAGTGCACCTGGCGGATCCGACTGCAGGTCTTGGAATCGGATATAAAATGGAACTTGGCAGGCTTTTGGGATGCACAGGTCTATTTGAACTGCCGGATTGCCCAGGAGTTTAAG